GTATGCCACAATGCCACTGTATGCCACCATGCCACTGTATGCCACCATGCCACTGTATGCCACCATGCCACTGTATGCCATCATGCCACTGTATGCCACCATGCCACTGTATGCCACCATGCCACTTTATACCACCATGCCACTTTATACCACCATGCCACTGTATGCCACCATGCCACTATATACCACCATGCCACTGTATGCCATCATGCCGCTGTATGCCACCATGCCACTGTATGCCACCATGCCACTGTATGCCACCATGCCACTGTATGCCACCATGCCACTGTATGCCACCATGCCACTGTATGCCACCATGACACTGTATGCCACAATGCCACTGTATGCCACAATGCCACTGTATGCCACAATGCCACTGTATGCCACAATGCCACTGTATGCCATCATGCCACTGTATGCCTCCAGTAAGTCATGTATTGATTATCGCTGCAGGCGTTCATGTCACTCCGCCAACTGCTCTTGTATTCATTCCACTGCCTTCCTGGTCATTGTGCTGCGTTGTAATTCATTTTATGCCGCAAAATTCACTATTTCAAAGAATTCTTAAAACATTTGGATAATTAATCCATTATTTAAGCTTTAATGTCATGAATAGAAACTATTGAAATATACAGTATATTTGTGAATATGTCTATTTTTATCAGTTATTATCACTGTAGACTTATTCGGTCTGCTCGGCTCTACTTTATTGATCCAATTGTTCATTTCTTTGAACAATTGTTCATTTCTGGGAAGAAGTAGATTATTCCCCAGAGCGGCTCATTTCTACAGCTCGTTATTCCTTTATTGATCCAATTGACTATTCCCCGCGGAGGAATACATTCCTCGTCTCTAAGACGTGCCTCACTTCCGGCTCGGTTTCTGGGAACACCAGTCTAACAAAGATGTGGCCAACGGGGCATGAATAGGAGGTGATGTGATGTGGTATGTATAGGAGGTGATGTGATGTGGTATGTATGTATGAGAGGTGATTAAATAAAGCAATTATAGGAGATTATTTAATAAAGCATGTATTAGAGATGATTTAATAAAGCAAGTGTGGTATTGCGTACTGTTGTACTGTTGTTCTACTGTTGTGCTACTGTTGTGATACTAAGACGGACATGTAGAAGGAAAGATAATAATCTTGTGTTTCTAACATATGTATACGAGATATTGGCATGTATAATATGAACATGTAGAAGATATGATCCAATCTACTGGCACTGGGGCGCCAGCCTGCGCAAGTTATCAGGGTGACTTTAGCTCCTATTGATCTCAGGATAGTGTACTGCTACTGTTGTGCTACTGTTGTTCTGCTGTTG